GAGTTGTTGTGTTGATTTTGCAGCCACATGTGGACAAATGTGATGCTCCCGGTGTCGTCAAGATCTTTATCTGTGAGCGAATGCACTCGGTCAGAGCGTGTGTTGCATATCAGAGCGCTGCAGACGGGTTAAACACTCTGCTGAACTGAGTTTGACCCCGACTCTGAGCCCATGAGTTCGGCCCTGCAGGGGTTAACCTGAGAGCTGAGTGTTTCCTCGGTCACTTGTGCAATACGAGAGAGCGTAAAGAGATCACCTCATGAAGGCTTGAGACAAATTCCTCCGATCGCAGTGATGGAAAGCTTGATTCTACTGTAGCTGAAACATAATTGATCTATTTGATTTTTCTTTACACTCCATTGCAACGATGTTTCAGCACCCATGTGAGTACACTTTCTACTAAAAAGGACTCTGTTTTTTTTTTGCAGTTTTTTTTTTGCAGCTTTGCTTGCAGCCCGCATCAGATGAAGTTCCTTTTTGAGCCAAGATCACGTCGATCGTTGAACAATATGGAACGACCCAAGTCGTGGAGGCTTGCAAAAAAAAATAAAAAATTCTAGTCAGGGATTTTGGATGCAGCCTTAAACCTACATGTTTAAAATCCCTGAGCAGGAAAAACAGCAACATACATCTATCTTCACCATGTTGGTTTATAGGACTTAAGCACATCAAAGAGTCTCACCTGAGAGCTTTACATTTACATTTCTGCTCACTTTCCTCATCCTCTACCTGGAGTTTTCTTCATGAAAATAAAGTTCAAAAAGGAAGTGGACTACCACAACACTCCTCCGAAGTTATCGACTTGTAATATTCTCCACACTCTAGTCGGCGTGTGTCCGTGGATCATGGTGCTTGATGATAGCTGTTTGGTTTTTGAATGCCTGTGATTATTCCAGACAACAATTTGGGCAACTTTGTGCAACACTTGTAATTCACAGGCGAGCGCCTTCAGCTGTTTCGATTGGAGCTTTTCAGCGGCGGCGCACAAAAGAAATGCAATTGTGCAGCATGAATATTACACCTGGGGTCTGAAATGAAATACTCATGCAGAAGGGAAAGTCATATTTGGTGATTGCAAACAGTATCTCTCCTGAACACACACTCAGAGAGAGAGAGATTGGGGGGGGGCAGGTTTTCATGAGTAATCCCTGGTACTGATTCGGGGCCAGTAATTGTAAGCAGCACAGCAGGAAGTGAAGCAAGTCTCAGCTATTGACCGGCCTCAGACTCACACTGAGCTAAAACACAGGGGTGGTGGCACTGCCGCTGAGAACATGTCAATTTTGCTCTTTAGAAAAGGGGCACTGCTTGAAGACTGAAAGCAAATCAACACGGCTATCGACCCAGACAAGCCAAGCCTGTAAATTGCACTCGGAGAGACGAACAAAACAACAAAAACCATCACTGGGCTTTTATCGACGGGCAACACTTTGGCTGGCACGCTTTACTTCCAGAGGAGGATAAGATTGAAAAGAGTGAAAAGAAAGGTTTGATAGAGCGTTCAGACACAGACTGTGTGTACTTTGTAGCAGCACCTCAGCTCCAAGACGTCTGTAAACCTGAGCTTTTTCAATTCTGATCAACAAATGTCTCCTGATCCTGCTTTTGGCCTGGTGGTTAGTTTGCACGCCTCGTGTACAGAGGCTACAGTCCTCAAGCGAGCGAGCGGGCAGCCCGGGTTTGGATCTGACCTGCGGTTGTCAAAGGTCACATTATTATTAATATTATGCAAAATACACTTCACCATGTTTTACCAAGATCGGATCAAATAAAAACAGCCAGAGTTCCCATCACAGAGGCGAAGGCGGGGTAAAAAAGAAACAAAGCACGCTGAGCTATTCATAGAGGAAGTGACATCACAGAGTCAACATGTTGCGCAAACTCTGCAGCGAGGCGTTGCTGTCAAACTCGTCTGCTCTCAGGTCACACAGCAGCTCCTTTCTTCTTCACGCCGGAGCAGATAAAATCCCAGTGTTTGTGTGTGTGTGTGTGTGTGTGTGTGCGTGCGCGTGCGTTTCAACACTCCACATTTCTGGCTCTGACATCTTCTCACTCTGTTCTTTTCACATGTTACAAAGTGAAGACATATTGAGGCCCCCCTCATGCAAAACAAAATGCTCGGCATTGTTTTTTTGCCGTAACTCTAAATGAGAAGTGTGCAAGCGAGGTGGAAGGAGCCGCCCTGAGCAAGCGGAGAAGCTGCTTTGCGTTGAAATAACAAGTAACAATAATTACAACGAGGTAATTTAAGAAATGCAGAGCAGGTATGTCAGATTGTTTATCAGCCAGTTACTTTTATTTGACCTGTATTTTTTTTATATAATTAGGTGACAGAAACTAGAAATTAAAATACTTTTCCCTCTTTCTGATAGAGATCTGGTTAAAGGAGCAATGTGTAACCTAGTGTGTCAAATAAAAATAGGAGAAAGCTGTCTCCCCCCGCCCCCCTCCTCTCTAGAGTCGATGCTCATGCAGGTCACCATGTGGTGGACTCTGAAGCTTCAGTGTTTATCCAGCTCTGCATGGGTCTGTAAACCTTTCTGTGTTCTAACCTCTCTCCATTTTTCAAAATCATCTCCAATATTGATCCTAGTTTGAGCACGTTTCTGCTCGTGGAGCTTATTAGAAACATGCAGAGGCTTTTTAAGTCGGGTACAATCACTTCTATCTGAACCACTTCTCTCGCCCGCTTCCATCGCAGCAGCACCTGCTGGTTTGCTGTTTGCCTGGAAAACAGAGGGGCGTCCAAAAACGGTCGTGTGGAGATGCCTTAAAACCGCCTCCCTTCTCTGGTCCAAAGAAAAACAAACCATTCAGGACCGGAATCTAAGGACATAATGGCTGCTACATTGTTATCCCTGCATATCCTGATTGTCTCAGGTGTGGGGGGCCAGTAGTCTAGCGGTCAGCGTGCGCTCCATGTACAGGGGCTATAGTCCTCTTAGTGGACGGATTCAAATCCAGCCTGTGGCTTTCTCTCCTGCATGTCATTTCCCCACTCTCTCCCTCCCTGATTTCGGACTCTGATCACTGAAATCTCAAAAATAAAAGGCACAAAAAGCCCCAAAATAAACCTTAATGTCTGCAGTTCTTTTCTGACCATGCACCTTTAAAGGTAATAAAGGGAAAGATGGCTCCCAACATTTAAGAGAAAAAAATAAAGAAAATGGTTTACCCTGATTGATTCCACCACAAAAGACAGCAGATGAACTCCCAGTCAGAGCTCCCCGACAACAACACATTTCGTTTTCAGTCTTAGGACAGATGTGTCTATGAAACACAAAAATGTCTGAGTATTATCTCTAATTTTCCAAGCTCAGTTTAAGTGACTGATGAGTCAGCGGCTGCCATCATCATAGACTCTCAGTGGATCCCGAAACAGTGTGTTAAACCAGCTATGAAATGATGTTCTCTCTTAAAAATCAGAGCTGGGGGATTATAGACAGAGCACGCAGTCATTGTAGGATTTACTAATTAAGGATCAGCTCGTTCTTTCGCTCTCTCTTCATCCCTCTTGTTTGTTTTCCGTCCTCGTATACCTCCACGCTCACCTTGTTTATGACAGGACGCAGATGAAACAGGAGCCAAAGAGGGCTGTCACGCCCTTTTATTGTCGCTTCTCCTCCATTTTTAGGGGGCATTTTACGGCGAAAGCGGAAATAATTGCTTGTCCCAATTATGAATCCATCTGCCGCGGTGGCGTTCTGATTTGATGGGGAGGAAATTCCCGAGAGCAACACCAAACAATGTGCAGGAATAAGGCTCGGGAGCGTGTCAGGGGCCATTAATATCCATAAAAGCAATTTCACAACACACCTAATGACATAAAATGACAGAGAATAACAGGGAGGTAATTAGAATGTGTGATGTGTGTGAGTGCAGGGGGACCAGAGTAATGGAGGCTAATATATTTCTCTGCAAATGCATGTGGACAGTTTACCTCACAGTCCCTCTGTCTGTTATAAGTAATATGACTTAATAGGAGTATGTGGACACAAAAGGCAGCATAGAGGAAAGGATTCAGATACACTGTTGTGCAATGTTTTCCACGGCGGATGGTCAGCTGCGGTCTAGACGTTCTCCATGGTTTTTAATATAATCTAAAAGAACTGATTCTAGGTCAGTAATATGAGACTCTCTGTGTAAAAAGGATTGACTAAAAGTTGGGGAAACACTCTGATCTTGTTATGTCAGAGTCAAAATGTGGGTTTTTGCCATTATATTTTCCTTTGTATGTGTGCATGTGTTATCTTATGCGAGCCTGGGTGAACGCTGTGCTCAAAGCTAAGGCTCCAGGTGATAGCAGACAGGTGAGTGAATGAAAACATTTTCACCTGCCAAAAGGGAGGCCCGGCAGGCAAAGTTGGAATATAGAATAGAATATACAGAAAGCTTTTTGTCATGATACTAAGTACAATGACATTAAGAGATTAACAATCCATGCATTCTTTATCTATACCGCTTTTTCCTGTTTGGGGTCGGAGGGGGTCCTGTTGGTGGGGGTGCACCCTGGACTGTTCACCTGTCAATCACACAGCTGACATATAGAGACAGACAACCATCTACATTCCCACTTTTTTTTTTAAAGTCACCAAATAACCTTATAATGCATGTCTTTAGTCCCTCATAGTACTGGGAGAGAAACCATGCACACTCCACACAGAGTGAGAGGCCCAGTGTGACGGGGATTTGAACCAGGAACCTCCCGGTGTGAGGCGACACCACTGCACCACCACTGCAGCCCTGATATAAGTAATTAGAAATAATATTTAAAAAAGTTATGAGAAAGTTACATCAAATATATACACAGTATATTGGCTGTGTATATATTTGTTTTTACATTTGTTTAGGAAAACTGTTGCAAACTTTGTAAACAGTTCTGAGCAGACAAAATAAACAGAATGATAGAAATGAAAAGGGAGACCATTTGAAAGCGTTACTCGAGTTGCCGATGTGTCAGTGGGAATGTGGTTTCCTGGAGTACAGAGGAGGAGTCGCTTTGATTTCTCCTTCCGGGTTCCTGCAGCCAGTTTGTTTTGTTTTGGGAGTATCAGCGCGGACTCAATATGACCTGAAAACCTCACTCGGCGGATTAAGTCGCTCCTTTTCTTGACTTTAGTTGAAGAATGTGACGTCTTTTGACGTTTTACACGACGCTCTGGCTCGGTGAAAAGCGGACAAGTGTCGTCTCCGTGATTTCATCCTGACCTGAGACACCTGTTGCTCCGGTTTCGACGTACAGGTGCCACTCAGGGAGAAACTCGAAACTTGGGATTCATTTCACTTTTATTTTTCTTTATTATCATTTACAGGCAGTATGAAAGTTACTGTAACCTTCGGGGACACTTCAGTGGTTGTTCCCTGCAAACCTGGATGGACTGTCCGGGATTTAGTGGAGCAAGCCGCGCGCAGATACCGCAGGGTTGAACAGGTAAACCTCTTTATTCTTATTTTTTTTTATTTTCCCTCACTTGTCATTTTATTGTCTTAACCATTTCAAATGTTCACCTAAATGTGCCGCATATATTTTAATTCAAGTCATTTGTTTTTTTAAAATAAAAACATCCCATTACGTCCTGGTGGTCACGTGACAGGTCTGCGGCTATGACGTCATTACAATTAAGCTCAATTTCTAAATTAATTAAAATTAAAAAAAAAAAAAGTCATATAGGCCTACTTTCACCGAGATAATGATGTTTTCTGTGACTGAAATTTAGCATTGTTTTATTGTATTGTTTTATTTATTGTTTTTTAAATCTAAAGAATTCATGAAATATTTGGATGCTAATTAATATTTTGGTGCTAGTTTTTTTTAAAACTTCTTGTCGAAATGTCTTCATTCTTCCTCCCTTTGTAATGGTTTTCACAGCATGAAATGTAATCACTTTTTTTTTGGCTCAGAAGTCATAATAATGAATGATTCATCAACCTTAAATATATTTTTTAAAAAATGACTTATTGTAAACACTTGGTGTACTTTCTACGACTCATGCAACAATGCGTGGCTATTTATGATTCAAATGTTAAACTTCGTACATACGCAGAGCAGCGGGGACTTTGTGGACTTTTTGTTCTTATAACAATAATTCTGTAAGCCTACTATTTCGCATGTTCCTATCAAAGACTGGAAATGTTCATGTTTGAAGCCTGAGCGACTTCACCCGTGTGTTTGGGGGGCTTTGGAGTCCCATCGGCGGCGGTCTCCATGCTGGAAATGCTGTCTCGAGCTAACTTTCAGTCGACCTAACGACAGGCTGAGAGCTGGAGCTGAGGTTTTAAATCAGGTCAGCGACGCGCCTTATCGTGAATAAAGCGTATCCAAAAGTTATCAAAAAATTCACTGCCTGCACAGCCTGTGCCGATCGAGACATCAGCTAAGCAGACCAATTTCCGGTGCTTCTGCAGCCCGCCTAAAGTGGACACTCGATGAACTGCAGGATATTGCACATACTGCATTTTTTCAACATCGGAGGTTCCTGCACATGCATGCCAAACACATCATGCAAAAAAATTCCTAGCACATTCCTCTTCACCTTGTCCCACTCTGCATCTGCAGTATGCAAGCCAGAGTGTTCTTCTAGTCTGACCCACAATCCTCTGCAGCTTAAGATACTTTTTATAGACTGAGTCCTACTACTGTATTGCTGAATGTTCAAGGTGCAACATTTTGTGGAAGTAATATTCTCCAGTTAAGTTCGCCCCGGATTACATTTTCTTACTTTGTTTCTCCAGCTGGAATGGGTATGATTACTTGTTTGAGTAACGTATTGATACATGCACCATCCCAGCCTTGAGCAGGAAAATTGTAAGTAAGTGCAGTGCGAGATATGAGATGTTAAACCTGTTAAAGCATATCATAGTCGTTTTGGCCTCCCGTGTGAAACACGTTTGAACGTCATAACCTCTTTTTAGAGGACGTGTTAGTGGTTCTGGGAAATGTAGAAGTAGACACGTTGAAGGGAAGTGCAGAAACTAAAAGACAATGCTTCATTATAAAACATCCTCTTTCATGCAGTGAACATGCCAAACTCATTTCTAAAGGTTTAGGGAACCACTGGTTTCAGAGTGTTGTGAACCTGTGACTTCTTCTATAGTTTTAATGTCCTACATTTACACCAAGGATTGGAACCCCAGTGTTCTGCACCCTGATGTTGCAATCACTTGAACATAAATCATTCTGCCGAAGTGACCTTTTTATTAATCAGCAGCTGCGTGTGTGCATGCTGTCCTAGCCTGATAGGATGCTGATGTGTGTTTCAGCTGCAGCCTCAGCTGTCTACCTGTACAATAGCTCCCTGTTTAAGTGCTGGTATCTCAGCGGGCAGGTGGAAGTTTACTGTTTGATATCCTCAATGTGGCCGCAGTCGGCGAGGTGCGCCACGGACAGGAGGCTTTGTCCCGTGAGTGATTGGGGATTAGGATTGGTGACAGTCCCGGGTCTTATCGGTTGGCTGGTCCCCCTCTCAGACTCTCCCACGCTTCCTCCCACTCGTCCAGGCGGCAGGCTGGCACGTGGAGATGCGAGAGGCCGCGTTGGAAGCAGTGGAGGGAAGGAGTGATTTTTAGTGGCTGGTTGGATTGCTTCCACACACACACACACACACAGAGGGGCTCATCTCGCTCCCCTGAGCTGTCCCCTGTCTGCTCCACTGACATCCACTGCCATGCCCCTCTTTGCCCAGCGCTCCCTGTTGATCCTCATTGAGACACGCTGCGGTGCGCAAAGCTGAAGTGGGTTAAATGCTGCTGTGTGATCAGAATAAATCCAGCTCCTGATTGCATTTCACATTGCATGTTAATTAGGAGCCCCCTCCTAGATGTTGACTCAGCACTCTTCTTCTAGCCTCTCCTTGTCATAGAGGTGGATTATGATGAGGACAGTCCGGCTCTGTATCTGTCACAGAGGGCCGAATAGATCTGACCAGCTCCTGCCAGCAGGATCCACTTAGTGCCCATTAACCGCACACTCCTCCTCTCTTGCTGACAGCAAGGACAGTGTCAGAAACCTGGGTGTAATCACTGAGTGTGTGTGTGTGTGTGTGTGTGTGTGTGTGTGTGTTGTTTGAAAGCCATGGAGAACAGACTTCTGCACTGTGCATCGCAGTAACGGCATGTAGACCTTCTTAATTAGCAGTTTGTTTTAACGTGATCTCAGCTGTGACTTGGTATGTGTTCCTCTCCTCTGGTGAGAAAACAGGATCAACAAAGCCTCTGACTAACTGCATACAGAACATTCCTGCTCGGTGTGCTGCTCGCACGAGCCCCATTTGTAAAATATGAAATACGTGTGATCATGGTCGTGATAAAAAAAGATATAGTCTCCACACTTTTTTTTGATTGGCTGCTGTTGTGGCAAGGGATGAAAAAAAGAGCAAGATTGTGGGAGTTGTGTAAAGATTTGCACCTTGAGGTGTTAAAGTTTTATGTTGTAGGAGATATTTGTTTGGTATCGTATCCCAACCTCGACCCACCATACAGATAATTACCTAATAAAGAAAACTTGGCTTGTTATGTATGAAATTTCCGACCATTTTAGTCTCATTTGTCGCTTTCTAGGGATTCAGCAAACACTACTTTTGATTCGATGTTGCTTTTTTATCTAAGCTTCCACCTGACTCAGAATTTAATTTTTTTTCAGTCAAGTGGTACAATTTTCTCCGACATCAGCCTACATGAACTTCGTTGTTTTACCCCTAAGATGCAAATTTATCATAGTCCATGAAAGCACCCTGGTGTTGGCAGAGATTCAAACAGTTCCAGCTGACTGCTCGCTGCAACTTCCAGCTGACTGTTGTTGAAACTGAAACTGAATTATTGAACCAGATAAAGGATTTAAGTCAGTGGCTGAGCCAAAGTAAAGGGCAGATTTCTCTTTTTTTGAAAATCCCTGATTGTTGATGCAAACCTGCTTTATTCAGTATTTTCTTGAAGATTGAATGGACTCCTTTTGTTTGGAAGAGGCGGGGACTATATGCAGGTCATTTGGCAAGGGGTGATCCCCTAGAAAACAATAAAAAGTGAGGGAACAGAGGCGCTGGTTTAACTCGGTTGGTAGATCAGACACCCCACAGAGGCCAAAGTTCTCCATGCAATAGTTCCTTCCCGACATTTCCCGACTCTCCTCAGCTGCCCTGCCCCTTCACATCTTTGAGACACTTGGAACAGAAATGTTTGGACTTCTTTGTGAACTGTTAATCAGGTAAAACAGACTCACCCCTTTTTGTGAGTCACTGTGTGAGTATGTCACTGTAGCCCGCGGGGACCAGCATGTAGACTGTGAGTGTTGTGCGTTCTCAGGGGAGTCAGCCAGGTACTGTAGCTGTCGTATGCGTCTGTGCAGGTTCAGCTCACATTACAGCCCCTATACCACCTCCCCGCTGACACCTGACAGCGCACTAAAAACCCGCTGAGAGCACTTTGTCCTCCTACTCCTTCTCGTGTGTGCAGCAGCAGCAGCGTAGGAGTTGTCCAGCGCGTCAGAACTCAGCTATGCAAAAGACATTTTTTTAAGTTACATGTAATCGTTCGACCCTGCTTTCGTTCTTCTCTTAAGTGATTATAATCCTGGCTGGCTTGTCAAGAGCTTACAGTGTTCATTATACTTCTGTGATGGTATACTCTGTTACATCTACACGTCCCTGAAGGGAAACACTTCCCACTGAAGGGCAGTGTTGCAGCAGAGACGGACATCATGACATCAAAAGCAGATACGATTTTGTATCAACTCCCCGTAACCGAGAGATACAAGAAGAAAAGCTTTCTTCAAATTGAAATGCAACCCTGTCCTTGTGCGCCACAGATTTGTAAAAGCGATGCTAAAAAGCAAGCAAGGAAACATCCAGTGAAGATTTTCTAACCTGCATGTGTCAGATCGGAGGTTAAGCGAGCGCTGGTTTCTATTTTTCAGATTTTTTTCAGACTTTTGCACTTTTAAGCCGCACCAAAACACTAACTCATTTTCTAGTCACATTTTACCTTTGCAAGTTTTTATGCTCCATCTCATCAGCCAAATTCATAACAAATGTTATCTCGAGACGCTTTACAAAAAGCGGGTAAAAGACCTCACTCTTTGGTAAGAAAAATAGGATCTGGGTTGAGTGTTGTCCACGTTTCCTTGCCAAAATGTACTCAAATTCAAATAAATGTTCACAAGCGTCTTTTTATTCGTTTACATTTACGAAACAGCATGATTTTAATAATTGCTTTTATACTTCTTTTTGATGCCGCTGCTTCTAAATGCAGGAAACTAAGCGTTAAAAGCGTGAAAATCGAGCGAGTAAAGGAGTCATTTAGTCCTTTTTGTTCTAGTTTAATGTCAGCGGCTGCAGAGGTCAAGTTGTCTCCATCCTTGAGAAAGGGAAAAAAAAAAAGCTCTCTCTTTTCTCTTCCTCCGACATGAAGACAGCTCCTCTTTGACACGTTCATTAAAGGCATTTTGTTTTTGTCACGGCTAAATCCACGCCGTCCTCCTTCAGCTGTGTAATTACACATTCTTCTGAGGATCAAAGTGTGAAATAGCACCCCCCCCCAAACACCTCCACCACCAGCGAGTTTAGCTTCACTAATCGTCCCTGCTCTTCTTCACCGCTCTCGAGTGGTGTCATGTTTGCTCACCAGAGAGGGAGAGGAAAGGAGAGATAAATGGTGGGGGACTTAACGGCGTAATTTGCGGTGAATTTACTCTTCTAACTGTCACGGTAATTCTCCTCCACGATGACTGACTGACTCTCGACTCCTTTTGTTTTTTTTTGTGTGTTTTTTTTTTTGGTATTTCACGTGAAGAGTCAGGGATATGAAGGGGGGAATTATGAGGGATTGGCAATAAGAGACTTCAGAGGAGTTTATTTGATTCCTCCTCTATAGATTTTTTTTTTCCGTCTGAAGTGTCATACATCCTTCCCTTTTCATCCCAAAGAAACAGAGAAGAGGGTGTTTCCTTGGGCCTTGGCTGAATGAAAGCGAAGCTAAAGTGTGCCAGGTGTGCTGAGGCCTGCAGAGGTGATCCTAATTAACACTCAGCCATTGTTTTGCTCTAATCCAACTATGTGAATTAATCCTCTCCCCCCGAAATGTGCACTAATGCGTCTTATTTCCTTAAGGTGTGCGTGTTTTAATGGGCTTATGAGGTAATCGTGAAGGAACCTATTAGCGTCCTCCTTTCCTCTCCTCTGCTGTTGCTGTCTCACACACACACACTCTCAGGCATGTAAACAGTGTCTGTGACAGGGAGAGGAATGCCGGCGCTTGTTCAGGTTGGACCGGTTTCTCTGGCGAGGTGTAAATGCTTCGCCCTGACGTCTCGGCTCCAGCTGCTAGTTTCGACATCTCTATCCCAGCATGCACTGCCCAGTTTCTTTTTCCCTCGAATTTGGTCAAGAAAAAACAACATCTAATGGGTTTTGTGTTTCATATTTCAACCTGAGAATATGTCACATCAAATCCTTTCGAGTTCGGTCAAGCCATATTTTGAATTAGTCCCAAACAAAGCTTTAATGCTGGCTCTATACACCCGATGCTTTTACACACTTCCAATGTTTAAATAAAAGGAGTTATGGCTCGGTTGTCCTGACACTCAGTCCTAGCTGTCCTAAGTCATCCTTTTTCCATCTTGATGATCAAACCATGTTCTTTTCAACACTCAAAAAGAGAAACTCTCTCCCCAAACAGGAAGATGCACAGTGAGCGGATGAGCGTGGCTGAAGCTGCTCCCTACAGTCTTAAAAAAATGATGAATGAAAATAAACACCCCATTCAAACTATTCAAATACTCTTCTGGAAATTGTGTTTTTTTGGGTTGAAATGACCAAAACATTTAATTGAAAGGCAAAAAAGTTGGCACTATACAAATCAATGGATGGACAGATGTTGTAGCCGTTTAAGGAATATCTCAAGACCTCTGTTGTAAAGCCTGACTCATATTTATTGTCAGCACGACTTAATGTTTTGTCCAGTGTAACTTCTCTTGGCTCTGCAGCAGCGTTGGATCGCATGCCTGTTTGCAGCTTTGCAATGAGTGCTATGAAGTGAATTTCTTACGCTTGTTGCAGTCGCAGATTCCTCTCCTCGCTCTAGTTCTCTCTGAAGAAAGGAAGGTCGGTGCTTTATTCCTGTGATTGAAATCCCAGACTCTCCCAACCATTTTGTTTTAAATTTAAGAGAATGGACTTGGCCCATTGTGAAAGGCAGACGCCCTCTTTTTTTTTTTTTTTTTGTGTGTGTGTGTGTGAGCTGCAATTCAGACATTCAGATGCAGCGGAGCAAGAACGAACCCATTCACAGTGAGGACCGGGCTCGGTGATACAGCACAAGCAGATCACTGGGCCTCTGCCAAACTCATTCCAGCCTCCCAGCCTTGTAGCCTATAGCTGTTAATTTAGCTGGTAATGTAGTCCTGTGCTGCTCTTGACAGATTGTTTATTGGTCCGGGCTGTTCCTAATGGGCCATTTTCTGCTGTGCACAGTGTTGGAGACGATAAGGCCTGTCAAAGAACTTCTTCTACTTGGTCTTGAAATGAGTTTTAATAGAAAATGTGGGGAAAAAAATAGCAACTATTATTCAACAGAAAAACCATCTAGGAGCTTGAATAACTGTTTTTTTTTTTTTGTTTTATTTAACATTCACACAATTGATCGTCATTCTTATCTTGAAACTCTCTTGCAGAGAGCATTGTTGTCTGACGTCCAAATAGAGTGTTTACTGTGTCGCAGAATGAGGAAGATGCTATTGTTCGAGTAGTTCTCTGTCCATGCGTGAAAAGCACACTTTCAGATTGCAGATTGCAGATTGCAGCTCTGTCAGAAGTTGTTCTTTCCGTCAGTGGCTCTGTGCGCTTCCTGCTCTGAGGGGCGTGTCTGCTCTGACCTCTCGTCTTCACGGTGACAGTGAAACCAGTCAGGAATGTGCCAACCACCGTTTCCCACAGACTGAAACTGGAACAAGTTGCCCTTCTTCCTAACCTCAGGCTGACATTCTTGTGTGCAAACTATGCTCTGCGTAAACCTATACAGTAGTACCTGGTGTGATTTAAGTCTTCTGCACATGTATACCTGCAAAACAAAACAGCAAATCCCACTGCTATGTCTGGATATACACCTGGTTATCTTTCAAGCGGACTTTCAGGACTGAAATGGCGACTGGGCAAAACTATTTAATGCAACAAATCTTCAAACGTAAAAGCCTAAAGAAGAGGAGTAGCTTTTTCTGTTTCTGTGTGACAAATAACCCAAAAGAAAATCCACGTGAATAGGCGTCAAGGTTTATTGCTTTAAAAAAAAATCATGAAATATTGACTTCACCTTTTTATGTTTGTGTAGTTTTATCAAAATGTATTGGTTTGTATTGTCGTCGCTTTCAGTCGCCATGGTCTCCTGTACATTGATAAACCAAATCAGACTGGGCCTTTCAGGGGCCCAGATATTGCTTTGGCGGGCCTGGGAGTTAGCGTTGTAGTGCGACCAAAGGTTTGATCACAGCGACTTCTTGTTAAACCCTTCAGGACTTTCTGGTGTTGAATATGTGACCAAATTTTCGATCCCTTACCGGTGTTTCATGATATTATGCTGGACTTGAATGTTGATATTATTTCCAGTGGAATAATCCTGACATGTTAACTGAAATGTTTGCAGATTGTTTTGCTTCACGTTAAACCATGTTCATGTTTGTAAAGATATATAGGGATTGTGAGTAAATGTCATTTGTAAGAGTATCATTTTTTGTGTCTGCAGCATGGGGAGACTGCAGTGAAGACCCATCACTTGGAGTACATCGACGGGGGGATCCTGGACATGGACGACCCGCTGAGCGACCTCGTGGAAGACAGAGACAAGGTTCGTGGAATCACTGGACCGGCTGTATTTTATCTTTGAATCTCGTCGCTTTCTCCTGAGTTAAATCACACGTAATCACTGAAATTTAGACGACGGAAAGATTCAAATTTTCTTCCCGTCCTTGCCCCATCCAGCCTTCTACACAGGGAGTTATTTTGTCTCCTTTTTTTGTCCTTTTTTTTATCAGCGCTATCAGGTCTCCTTCTCTGCAGAACAAACACCTAAATTAAACAGTTTTATATTTAAAAGCTCTTTGGCTGACACAGGAGCTCTGTTTTTTTAGCTCAGGTGTGTTACATCGTTGATTGTTTGGAAGGTTTTTACAGGAGCCTAATAATCCTCAAAAGGTCTTCCCCACTCAAGAACAAAATGACCGTGTAATTACAACCTGTAAAAACACTGAAAAAAGCTCTGTCAGTTTAAAAATCTGGAGAGGGGCGGGAGTGGGTGCAGACGGGGCACTGAGGGAATGCTACTTTCGAAATCATGCTAGTTTTTGAAAATTACCAACCCCTGCAGTGTCACAGTGAAAGTACAGCAGATTTGAGCCGTATTCATCGTCTGGTTTTGGGATTTATTTAGACTCTCTTTGTTAAGTCTACAGCGTGGCAGGATGACAGGAAGTCCAATAAAGAAAGGCATTTGTAAATCCAAGCCTCGGTTAGCTTGTCATCGGCTGTGGGGAGTCTCAACAAACAAATTCCAAAACATGTCAGGAAGAGTTTCTGCCGCCACAGAGAATAAACTGTGATTGGATTAAATTGCATCCTCAATTCACTCGGTGTGTGTTTTGTAAGGAAGTGAACTCTTGTTTTTAAGGGAAGTGGAGGAGTAGGTGTAGCGACGGTGCTGTGTGATTTACCTGTCATGTTCGCTCTCGTCTCCGAACACATGAAAGGACACAATTTTTAGATTTCAAACAAATCAGCCAGGGAGGGAAGTTCTCCCAAACAGAAGTGATGTAACTTCACAAAACTCGGCAGGGAGTTGACGTTCGCATTTCACACACACACACACACACAGGCGGTGGCCCAATTTCTATATAAAGAGCAGATTTCATTCCTCTTGCTAATTTCCCATAATGCATTCTTAAGATGTGCTAATAAACTGCCTGAAATCCATATTTATAAGCCCTGAGCTCAGATGAATGCTGAATTATCAACACTTAGTCAGCAAGACGGGAAATGAAATGGGGGGGAGGAAAGAAGGAATATTCATCCATCACTTTACGGTGTAATAACAATGGTTGTTTTTAAACTGTGTGACCGATTGTGTGTGTGTGTGTGTGTGAGGACTGCAAGTTTGGGAAAATCTGCTTTGTGAAAAAGGGAACAGCTAAATAATACATGTGTAAACTTCAACAGAGGAACGCAGAGCTTCGTTTTCATTCATGAGATCTGCGTCTTATTTGTGCATAATAGTGCGAGTCCTAGTTTTTAATGAGTCACTTCCCCAACCTGCTTTCTCTGTGTCATGATGGGAGCCCCCCCACTCTCAGCATTTGATCAGATTCCTCTGATCTGAGAAAGTTGCCCTGTCGTCCGCTTTCTCTCCGGAGCTGCGGTTCTTTTTTTGGTGATTACCGGACTCTGCTGAGCTTCACTAGAATAGAAGCATCATATTTACCTTTTGTGTCTTTACTTGCTCCGCTTTCTCCCAATTCGCCGAACGCCCCCTCCCTGCTTTCATCTCCCTCCTCATTTTTTTTTTTTCCTTTTTTGTTCTGCTGCTGATGAAAAGATAGCAGCGGAATAGGACGATCCTCACAACGTGCCACTCATCCGACTTATCATCCGGGCTTCCAAACACTGCCGGCTCTCGCAGATTAATGAGCCGTGCCTGGCGTTCTTGATTAGCCTGACTTCCTTTTGTTTGTCTACGTTTTTATTACCCCACCGCAGCCCGACAGATTCTATCTTCAGTGATTTTCTTTTTTTCTTTTTGTTCTGTTATTGTGGCCGACGCTGTTCCGCCATCAATCACACTGGAGTGGCCCCATTGTGAGGGCCCGCCGCCGCCGCACAGCATGGGCCCTGTGTTAGCCGCGGATGCTAATGAGAGATAATGGTTGGCTATTTGTACTCCCAGTGGTTAGCCCACGCCCGCGAGTCCACACCTCTATGTCTGGTCCAGCCCACGAGCATTATTCATCACACACATCTCCGCCACCCCCCCCCCCCCACAAGGCTTGTAGCGTAGCATGTTAGCGTTCGCGTGCACGGAAAGGAGCGCCACTGGTGGTTGATGAGGGCGGAGATGAGGGGGCGGCTGTGATTTGATTACAGCTCTGCCCCCTGCATCTGTGCAACATGCATACACACTCCGTTCATTAGCGCCCCAGCTTCCAGACGCCGGCCACCAGCCTCCTCATGAATATTAATGTCAATCTGATGAATGTGAAGGAGGCTGCGGGGTGTGGGCTAAAGGTGTGACCACATTTACACAGCACACACACTCACAGACACAAAGGAGCGCAGTATGACGATAGACCTGCGGGGTCATGGTTGAGTCTATTATACCCTATAGGAGCTTTTTGACCTTTTCCTCCCGCCGTATTATATGGTGTGCGTGTCTGAACGCCCTGCAGCTCTCAGATGACAGCTGGAGAAATGGCGGTCGGCGGCTTCGACCCGTTAGGAAACCCAACACTTTGTTGATGTTGATGCGAGGCAGGCTGATTTTTGCTTTTCTTTCTTTGACGTCACCCTGATTTTAAAATCTCGGAGGACTTCCTGGCATACCGGTGTGGCCCTCTCTCCCCCGTCTCCTCCCTCACCCTCTCTTCAGAAGCAGTTATAACAGATGCAGTGCTTTTACATGGACATACTCGTCCCATTTACCTCCACCAGACAGGTCATTCTTCTCCATTCACAGTCCAGTGGGGTCCTGCATTATCCTCGGCCATTACTCTCCTCACTCAGAAGCTGTCAGGCAAACATTACTGTGTCATTACGGCATTAACATACAAGCCGCACTCCCAAAGTTTGAATAGGGGAACCTTCCTGTATTTATATAATGCGCATAAACTGCTGCAGTTTCCCTTTTTTCAATTCTGCAGATGGCGACAAATAGACGCCGCTTGAATTGAAGGCCTGATCGTTGTTCCTCTTCTTTGCCTTTAATGCGAGTCATAACTGGATGTTCTACACGTGTGAGTGTCCCCTCTTGTCATGCCGATCTCCTCCACATTGGGTATTAAACTCAGGGTGCATAACATCTCCTCATAAGTGGACTGTCACTCCTCATTGGACCCACACGGACCTTGTTTTCTCGACGGGTAAAAAAAAAAAAAACACATAAAAAGCTCAACCTTCCATCCCGTGCAGCCAAACGAAAAATCTAATTTCATGGGAAATTTAATGAAAAAAAAAAACCCCTGGAATGATTTCCTCCATCTCTCTTTAATTAGCTCTTTTTAATCACCGCGCTCGCAAAGGCGTCCGTGAGCCTCCTGTGCAGCCTCTGGTTGCCGCAATGTAAATGGTACGGCTGCAGATCCCAGCTGATCTCCCCCCGCGAAATGTCAGCGCTTGATTACGAGGCCGTCTCCCATCATCCATCTCTCGTGCTCGCGTGTCACAGTGGGGAAGTGTGAATCAGCCACGTGGAAATGTGTTGATGGTGTTTGAAGTTGGTCCGTGGGCATGAGCGTCTTCCGTGTCGCGCGAGGAGAAAATGACACCTTTTTTGAGTAATGACCTCATGAGGAAACTTTCACACACTTCACTTTGCAGATTAAAGAGATGTGCATTAAAGTGCTGCATTTCTCCCCCCGCTAGTTCAGCAGAGTTAGAGGATCCGCAGAGTAGAGGAGCTACAAATAAAGTTTTATACTTTGGATTCAAAAACTGACCTTGTAGCGGTTTGTCATGATGCCTAAAACTCGCCTTTGCTCCAGCTCTCAGCCTGTTTTTATGTCATCTGAATGTTAGGAGTTCCAGAAATGGCGGCTGCTCCCGATGAGCCTCCAGAGCTTCTTGCAGGAGCAGATCGGGGGTCGTCACTCAGGCTTCGTCCATTTATTTTTACAGTCTATCGTCTTGGCAACAACTTTATCCATAACAGACACAAACATACTGAACGTGGTCGTTTTAAAGTCCAGTCTTGAGCTTTAGATCCCGAAACTCTCCATGAAAAGAAATCGCACCTCTATACGTTGTGTTCCCACCCGCTCCCAGAAGAAGCCATTGTGTGACTTGTATATCGTCTGAATAGTCTGAACTAATTTCCAACATGTCGGGTGTCGGCGCCTCTGACAGGTGACGCTGAGGCGTTACTTAAAACGTGCTAACCCGCTGGAGGAAGAAAAAAAAAAGTTTAGTGAATGGGACGTGATTGCGGGGCGCAGACGTGCTGATTAGCCCTTTGACGCTCGGTGACATCTCGCTGCTTCACCTCGGCTCCCTAGCGCTCACTGCAGCGCGAGCCGCCGTTTGATTGGCATCTAAATAGTCACATAACTCCGCACAGTGTCTGAATGGCTAGTGATGAGCACGGGGAGCACGAGGTTCAAGTGCACTGATTAGAAAAATGGCACGGCAAAGCGAGGCCGGTTTTATTTTTAGCAGCTTTTTCCTCACACGGAGTGCTTCCTGTGACGCACGGAGCAGATCGAGAAAGAGATCAGAGAAAATGTTATGAATGCTAATAGAGCAGCAACATGGGATAAGAGTCTTTGTGGTGAAGTCAAAAGGTGGCGTTAAGCTTTTATTAACCTGAGGAAGTAGAAGTTCTGATTCGATTACTCAGGATGAACACGGGTATTTATAAATGCTTATTAGGCGTTTTATCCGACTCTTTTTGGTCGTTTATGACAAACTCAGAGATTAACGTAGTGTAGATCTGAGCCTCATGAATCTGATGACTTTTTCTTGACGCACGTTGAAGGTCGTCTTTTTTTTTTCTTCTCTGAAAGCTTTAAAAAGTCACATAAGGAGGACGAGTCTGTTGCTTAGAAGTGTGAAAAGAACGCAAGATAAACTCGAGGCGTGGACAGTGAT